TGCCCAATAGGTTGGCATTATATTGATGTGTTTTCATCACCAGTAGCCTGTACAGCACATTTTATCTGTTTCTATGACAACTAGCTAGCAGGTAAGAAGTTTCCAGATCAAAGAACTCTGAACATTAATGGTCTTAATTCCTCTATCAAAAGACACAGATTAACAGATGTTGTTAAAAAAATAAAAACAGGACCCGTCTATCTGTTGTATGATAGAAATGTATCTCACTGGCAAAGACAAACAGAGCCTTAGGGAAAGGGTGGAAAGGCATGCCAAACAAACAGAACTAGAAAGCAAGCAGATACAGTAATATCAATATTGGACAAAGAATACTTCAGACCAAAGCTACCTAGAAGAGACAAAGGAGGTCATTTACTTTTGATTAAGAGAACAATCCATCAGAATGGCATAACATTCTAAATATATGTGCACTGAATATTGGTACACCGAGTTTTATAAAACAGACACTACTTGTAGTAAAGGCACAGACTGACTCAGCACAATAATAGTGGGTGACTTTAACACCCCACTCTCACCAGTAGACAAATTATCCTTACAAAAAATAAACAATGACCTTTAAATTTTAAATGGCGCATTGCACTCATACATATTTATGGGTACAATGTGATAATTCAATTCAGGCACACAGTGTATAGTTATTGAGTGGTCTTCTGATGCATTTCTGATGCCTTTGTGTTCAGAGCCTTTGATCTCTCTTCTGGTCCTTCCTAAAATACTCAGTAAGTTATTGTAAACCGCAGTCACCGCTTAAGGGCTCTAGAACTTATTTTTCCCACTAACTATACTTTGGGACCCATTATCGGACCTTTCTCTACTTTTGTTCCTCACTGATCATTAACCTCTATTCTCTGAGATCAAACAGTTTCCACACATTTGTCTTTGTGTTTCTGGGTAATGTTTTCATCCTCTATCCATTCATGATGGACAGACACCTTGGTTTATTCCACATCTTGGCTATTGGGATGCAGTAAGCACAGGAAGTACAGTAAGTACAGGAAGGCAGCTATATCTGTTTTCGTTGTTTCTTTTTGCATGCATATCTGAGTGTGCAGTATGTATATGTATTGGCAAATATGTGTGTGTGTGTGTGTGTGTGTGTGTGCGCGCGCGCGTGCACATGCATATACATGTGTATGCACATGTGGCGGCCCAGGTTGAAGCTGGTGTCCTGCTTGACTGTTCTTCATTCTTATTCCTTGAGCTAGGGTCTCTTCCTGAACATGGAGCTTGCCAATTCAACTTCTGAGGAGCCAGCTTGCCCCAGGGATCTCCTTTCTCCACTGTGTGCACTCTGGGATTGAGTAGCCACCACACCTCCCTGGATTTATGGACTGTAAGGATCCAAACTCTGGACCTCACCTTGATTAGCAAGTGCTTTATCTACTGAACATCTCCCCAGCCCAGGTGTCTCTTACACAAGCTGAGTTCATTTCCTTTCGAGATGTACCCAGAAGGGGGACAGATGGGTTATACAGCAGCTTTATTTCAGGTTTTGAAGACACCCTACTGTTCTTCCCAGTGTCTGTACCAATTTACATTTCTACCAACAGAATATATTCTTTCAAAGTCTGGGAGGGAAGTGCCATATTGGTCTGTTTGGATCAGGTGTATGTGAGTGGACCGATCAACTCTAGTGAGGGCTGGGGAACTACAAGACACTGCCTAATTAGTGGAAGTCACAGCAGGGGACTGTGAGGAGAGAAGACAGTAAACTGGGGAAGTACAAAAGTATCCCAGGCAGTTTCCATTGTTTTGCACTTTTCCCATATATTAGTGAAAGGTACAAAGGTTCACCAAGTGAGCCTGAGGGATGGCCACCCGAGACAACTTCCCAGGGCATGTAGTCACTGGTTACAGACCTGTCATCTTCCTCCATGTGGCAAAGACCATCAGAGTTCTCTAAGTGTGCCTGCTGCAATATGGAAACCCACTGAACTCTGATGAAGAATTAATGTTCTAATAATATGTGCTCCAGTATTGTGATTTGAGTTTGAAGTTGGTGATTCAAAGCGGACCAAGAAACAGCAACAGTAAAAGGAAGTTCAGACCCAGGCTGAGGATGCTGAGGAGGAGCAGTAATAGAATACCACTTTCCCTTTTGTTTTATAATTTATCTAGGCCACTGTATGAGGAGTGCATGCTGTGCCCAAGTTCCTAGCCAAGCTATGGTTCTGCCTCCCATGATCTCACAGCTCTCCTAGCAGGAATCCAGCTCAAACACAGCACAGGTTCAAGAATATTTGTCAGCTGGACCAGACCTAAGATTTGCTGAGCTCAGGCAGAGTCGGAAGCACCTTCCTCCTTTCTGCTTCTCCAGCTTCACCCTTCCGTGTCTCCCTGCCTATATACTTTCTCAGAGTAGAGTCCTTACCCTTGTCTGGACCTTTGACCCATGTATGGCCCTTGTAACCCTCTTCCTCAGAGCCCAGCCCCTGAATCACATTCTGTAAACATTGCTTTGACTGGGCAGATTCTGGTGCTGTGATTCAGCACCAGAGTCCAGCTCCCTATTCATCAATCAGGAGACTTCAGTTCCTCACACGGTAGAGGAGTCGGGCTCCTCCATTCCCTCTTCTGTCTCATGTGTTGATGTGGACCATGTCTAAATGCCATCAGCACTTTGGGCCTTGCTGAACTCTATCCACCTACACCCTGTCTGGCACCCCATGCTGTTTCTGGGACCATTACCTGATGCTCATCGTCTTTCTATGAGCATCATTAGAAACTATCACACACAGCACACAGGCTCTGGGATTTCTGGATTGCTGTACAGGTCTAGTGTGATCCCTCCCTGGTCCCTTCCAGAAATCTTTCCTGCACTTCTGTGAAAGAAGGAGGTGGGAGATTCAGTGTTTACTTGGCTGGGGAGTTGCCATGGTCACCATGTCAAACAGTCCTTGGAGCAGAAACTTGCCAGGCTGACTCTATAAACTGAAGCCTCTGTGTGTGGCTGCTTGACTCAGCACAAGGGACATGGGAGACCTGGGAGAGCGAAGAAAGACCACCTACCAGCAAGGGGGCAAGGACTCAAGGAGCAGGCTCAGCTTCTGTAGGGAGGGAATCTTCCGTCTAACAGAGCAGAGGGATGACAGTATTTTTGAATTAGTGTCCTGGGGCTTCCTTGACCAAAGAATCACAAACAGGGTGACTCACATGAGCAGAAAGAAGTGGGGCTGGTCAGATGGCTCAGCAGGTAAAGGTGCTTGCTGCCAAGCCTGATGATCTGAGTTCAATTCCTGGAACCCACGTAGTGGAAGGAGAGAACCTACTCTGGAAAATAGGTCCCCCCACCCCCGCCTGGATGAAGTACCCCTGGGTTAAGAAGGACATTCCACCACACTGTTTCCCTCTTCAAGAGTGTTTTTCCAAGGCAGGAACATAAGATTCCATTCTAGGGAATCTGAAAACATTTCAAATGAATGTGCCTATTCATTCATATAATTATACAGATCCCTCCCCAAAGCTCTCATTCCAAGTACTTCAGCAAAATAGAATAATGAGCAGGATACTGAGAGGAGACAATAGTCTTGGAACCCAAAATCCCCAGAGAATCAGGGCCAGTTCTCTAAACACTGCTTCCCTACAAAGAAGGAAGCTGATCCAAAGGAACAGAATGGGACTGCCATCAGAACTCAGACACCGACAAGCTGGGAACTGCCTTCTTAGACAGGAAATAGATCCTTCATGCCTAAGCAAGGAAGTGTGCTTTACACCGCTGTGGAGGTGTTCTCTTGCTAACAGTTAGCATCAGTTGCCTACGTTTCCAAGCATGCAGAAGTCCTTCAAAGATTCATGATCATGGCTTCTCCTAGAGAGTGCCTCAGAAGATGAGGGTGAGGGGGAACTGAAATAAGGTGGCGCTGATGGTACCTCTTACATGCAAGCCAGAGAGAGGCTGCCTTGGGGCGAGGTGTAAACATATTACAGACACATTCTATTTGTTTCTTCTGTGCCCTCCAAAAATGACTTACTCAAGACATTCTAAATGCATGAGGGAGGAACCAGCTGCCCTCTATCAGAGAGGATTCTTACATGGGAGGTTCTAGAAATTTACTTTGCCTATGGAAACAGAAAAGTCTGTAGAAGGACATTGAACAGCCATAGGGTTGAGAAAGAACTGAAAATCAGACTCCAGAAGGGCCATCAAGTGTGGAAATTTACCAACCTTTCTGCCATCCAATGGCTGCCAGGCTTGGTGACTCATATCTATAATTCTAGTACTCCTGAAGTTGAGACAGAAGGATTGCAGTGAGTTTGAGGCCAGCCTGAACAACACAGTGAGTTTGAGACTAGCCTGGGCTATATAATGAGAGCCTGTCTCAGGAAATCAACCAACCAACCAACTAACATTCCCAAGTGGGAGAACCTATTTGAGCTACTGTGCCTCTTAGTTCTGTTTCAGTGGATTTGGGGTGGGATCCCGGCTTTTCAATCTCAGCTGAGTTTCAGAGGGAGGAAGAAAAGCTGTTTCACAAAAGGAACTGAAATAGGGCAGGCAAAAGAAGCCATTCACTGTTCTACTAGCAAGCTGTCATCTCCCTCCCTCCCTCCCTCCCTCCCTCCCTCCCTCCCTCCCTCCCTCCCTCCCTCCCTCCCTCCTTCCTTTCTTCCTCTATTGTAACCAACTTTCATACTGCTCCATCCTGCTATGAGTTGAATCATGCCAATGAAATAAAACTCAGGGCTTGCCTTTAAATAAGCTACTGCATGGTGTTGGGAGATGATTAAAAAAGATGTGTGGTTGTTCAAGTTATGGCCCCTTTGGCTGCAAGGAAACAAAACTCATTCAACTTCATCAGGAGAAGATACATACTGGATTGCAAGAATTCTGTGCTCTCAAATCAGAGGCCATGGAGTCTGTGCAGCTGAGCACCAGGGGAGAAGGACCCAACAGCTGGCTCCACCCTCCCTCTCTGTCTCCTGGGCATAGATTCTCATCTTTTGCTCATTGTGGACCATTTCTCTTTCTCCAAATACAGCCTCTTCTGCACATTAACTTGCAAATGGCTGCCATCACTTTCAATTTGCAGGACCTTTTCACCACCAACCTTTGGCGAGCTCATGTCCCATATCAAGTTCCCAAGACAGAGTCTGTTCATCTTTTGGTGCAAGGTCAGGTTTCTTTCCTTTTCATCTTTTTCATGTATGTGTGTGGAGGGCTGAGAGGGTGGTGTGTGTGTGTGTGTGTGTGTGTGTGTGTGTGTGTGTGTGTATGGAAGCCAGCAGTCAACTCTGGGTGTTTATTCCTCAGACAACATTCACTTTGGTCTTTGAGACAGAGTTTGTGACTGGGACTTAGAGCTTACTGGGCTAGGATGAAATGGTCAGTGAGGCCCAGGCATCCTCTAGTCTCCATTCCCAGCACTAGGACTGCCAGCAGAAGCCACCATATCATGTTCTTTATCTGGTTGTTAGGGATCAAATTCAGGTCCTCATGTTTACACAACACTTTACCCATTGAGCCATCTTCCCAACTCCACAAAATCAGATTTCTAACCAGCATACTGGTTGACTGCCTTGGTGGGGGGGGAGGGGGAAGGCTCAGGTGGTCGTCACCAGTTCAATTCAGCCCTAATGGTGTCTTCTTTTTTTTTTTTCCAGGTAAGACTTGAACAGATGAGGTATGGGTGTGAAGCCACTAACTGTAGATGGGGCAGGCTCTAAGGAACATTTTGTTTAGTTTTCTCTCTACAGCCAATAATCACAATGGTTTGGAGATGAGGCCTGATTGCTTTGGAAGATGTTTGGAGAGAAAAGGAGAGAGATGGGTTAGAAGCCTGAGGAGACATTGAGATGGAGGCATGGTGGGTCTCCTTTGCTTTGCCAAGTGCGTACCCTTCCGTGTCTCGCATCTGACCTCTGCTGCTCCCGGGACCCAGAACGCCCACCACAGTGCTGAATTTCTCTGAGCACAGTCTGTCTACGCCTTCCACCCATGGAAGTGATGGATGGGTCAGAGAGGAACAAGTTGACCAAATCGAGTTTTCTCTCACCTTTCCCACAGGCTTCCTGTTATTGAGGTTTTTGTGACCTGGGCCCACTGAGACCTCATCAGCTTATACTGTGACTCTCCACCTTTCTGATCTTTTCAGTTCCTGCCAGAACCAGTTATGTTTCCCTTACAGCAATCTAGCTGTTTCCAAACCTGTCTGGTGAATTGGTTCTAAAGGCCTCTTGACCATTTCATTGGGTTGTTACAGCCATGACTCCACTTCTTTTTTAAAAGTATTTTTAAAATTAATATGTATTAGTCATACAACTTAAAGGTGTTCACTGTGATATCCCCATATGTGTAGCCATTGTGCATTGATTGTGCCCATCCATCTCTCATGACCCAGGTCATCTTCCCCCATTCTTCCCAGCACTCTTTCTGGCTCCTAGAAGTCCTTCTAAATTCCCTTTCATTTACTTTCCCCAGTTCTAGTTACTATTCTTCTGTTCTGTACCTATGTGATGTTGACTTGGGCTTTACACGAGTGAGCAAGATGTGGTGTTTGTCCTTCTGTGTCTGGCTGGTTTCACTCAACACAATTGTCCTAGTTACTTTTCTGTTACCGTGAAGAGACACTGTGGCCAAGGTAACTTATTAAGGAAAGCATTAAATTGAGGGTCTGCTTACAGTTCCAGAGGGTGAGTCCATGATCATCATGGTGGAGTGAATGGAGGCAGGAAGGTAGGCTCTGGGACAGTAGCTGAGAACTATATCCTGATCCATAGACAGAGAGAAACTCTGTGTTTGACATGGGCTTTAGAAACTGCAAAGTCTACCCCAGTGACACACTTTTTCCAACAATGTCAAACCTTCTAATCCTTCCCAAAGCTGTTTCACCAACTAGGGACCTAGCGAACAAATATATGAGAGTATGGGGGTCACTCATTCAAATCACCATAATGTACTCTGGTGTCCATTCATACAGTTACTAATTATTGGATTCCATTCTTCTTTATGGTTGAGTAGTATTCTATCAGGTAAACATAGTAAGAGAATAAACAAGGTGTCCCTGATGTCCATGTCCCCTATCCCTGGAGGAAAGTCTTTTCTTTTTTGTAAGAATGAGGCCAGCAAATGAATAACAGCTAACCCAAGGGGCCTGGGAAGGGGACCATCTGTCTCAACCATATAGCACCGGTTGTTTGGGAAAAGTTTCTATCACTAGCAACCAAGGAGGCCAGGCTAATCAAAGGGCCATTTATTTGTATGTGTGTCTAACCTGTAAAGAGGTCTGCAGGAAGATTCGAATTCAGAAAACAAACCCCCATCCTAATGCCATAGTTATCAGCTGGTGTATTTCCTTCTAGTTTTTTCTATGTACACGTTTTTAAATATAGTTTCTAGTCATGGCTGCCAAACTTGCTCACAACATGTAGTCATCATTTGCCATGTTGTTAGAAGAATTCTACAAACTTTATCATAATGATATAAAGGTCTGCTGTGGCACTGAGAGGACATAGTAAAGTCAAACCCATCACCCCCATCTTTTCCATGGTGACAAGGTGAGGTTTAACCAGAAGGCAAGGTCATTCATTTTGGGAAATGATTACTTCCAAGGTGGGAACTGGAGCTCTTTGAGATTGGGGATGGGGTATGGAGGTTCTTCTGCTCTTGTATGCTCCCAATGGAGAGCTGACATGGGGAGTATTCCCTGGGTAGCAGAGTCCCTCTGGATTCTACCCACAGGCCCTGTCCATCCAACAGCTAAAGCCATACCCCCTACTTAAAATTGAGCAAATAGATGTTGAAACATCAGAAATTCAGGGGTGGGGGCAGTGTTTCTGGGTCTGTCCTCTGTGGATGGTGGATCTGGAATGGCAGTGCCAGGCACAGAGAGTCTTCCCCCGGGCTTCCTGGGAGACTGTTCCAAACTGCTGGGCTCCACCATCATAGGCAGGGTGCATGGAGGGAGGCCCTTCTTTTGGACTCTGGGCTGTCATGCTGCATTCATCCTTGTGGTGCTGGGCAGAGGTGGGGATGGTGATGTGCTCTGGAAGAAATGGCCTTACCCACATGAACCATTTTCTTTTTCTTTTCTTAAATTACAATTTGTTTATTTATTTATTTATTTATTTATTTATTTTCACTTTACATACCAACCACAGTTTCCCCTCCCATTCCTCCTCCCACTAATCCCCCCAACCCACCTCCCCATCCACTCCCCCAAAAGGCCAAGGCCTCCCCTGGGGAGTCAACAAAGCCTGGCACATTCAGCTGAAGCAGGACCAACACGGCCCACCCCCAGCATCATAGGGAACAGGCTCCAAAGAGCCAGCTCATGCACGAAGGACAGATCCTGATCCCACTAACAGGGGCTCCCCAAACAGAACAAAGCCCACGACTGTATCCCACATGCAGAGGGCCTAGTCTGGCCCCATGCAGGTTCTACAGCTGTCTGTCCAGAGTTTGTGAGTTCCCACAAGCTTGGTTCAGTTGTCTCTGTAGATTTTCCCATTATGATCTTGACCCCCCCACTTGCTCACACTATCCCTCCTTCCTCTCCTCGACTGGACTCTTGGAGCTGGGCCCAGTGCTTGGCTGTGGATCTCTGCATCCGATTCCATCAGTTACTGGATAAAGGCTCCGTGATGACAGTTAAGGTAGTCACTAATCTGATTACAGGGGTAGACCAGTTCAGGCACCCTCCCCACCATTGCTAGTAGTCTCAGTTAGGATCATCCCTGTGGGCGCCTGAGAATTTCCCTAGCACCAGGTTTCTCCCTACCTCATAATGCCTTCCTCTATCAAGACATCTCTTTCACTGCTCTCCCACTCCGTTCCTTCCCCAGCTGGACCATGCCGTTCCCTCCACATAAGGCATTTTCAAGTCTTGTTTCTCACCTTCTGGCCAGGGGCAGCTTTTAAACACCTCAGAGTTTGTGGACTTAGCTAGTAAGCATGCCTCAGACTTGAGGGAGAATCTCCAGATAAAATCAGACTCCCTGAGATGATTGGAATATGATGTCAAAAGCAGGTTCATTTGCATAATAAAAGCACAATAAAAATAATAAGCTGTATTTTCTAGCTGATGCCGTGGGAGTGGAATATTTCTTAAATTGTTATTTTAGAAATCAGATTTGTTCGGTGTAATTTATATACAATGTAATCACTCAATTTTAGGTGTACAATTTCATAAATTACCCCCAATGGCTGCTGATCTGTTTTCTATCATTATCAGTTGGCTTTTTTTTCTAGAATTTCCTATAAATGGAATCATGCAGTGTGTACCTTATAGAGTTGAGGGTGTGTCTTCCTTTACTCAGCATTCATTCTTGTGTGTGGAGTCACTGCATAGTTGCACCACAGTGTTTGTATATGTGTCTGCATGTGCACATGTGTGCATGCATGTATGCTAACGAAGAGGTCATGTCTCATGTCTTCCTCAGTTGCTCTCCTGTTGCGGAATATTACTTTCACTATGTAAGGATGTGTTACATTTCTTTCTGCTGCATTTGTTTAATTATGTAAAGATGTGTTGCTGCTTTACCATGCCTGCCTAAGTCACCTGATTGGTCTAATAAAAAGCTGGATAGCCAGTAGCTGGGCAGTAGAGGGATAGGTGGGTCTGGTGGGCAAAGAATAAGTAGGAGGAAGAATCTAGGCTTGAGGGGAGAGAACAAGGGAGAAGGAGAGAGAGACACCCGGGGCCAGCCAGCCAGACATGGAATAGGGCATGCAGAATGAAAGAAAGCTAAAAGGCCCTGAGGCAAAACATAATTGAAGAGAAACAGGTTAATTTAAGTTATAAGAGCTAGTGAGACAAGCATAAGATAAGGCTGAGCATTCATAACTAATACTAAGTCTCTGTGTCATGATTTGGGAGCTGGTTGGTGGCCCAGAAGAAAGCCTGCTACACTCTCCACCTTGTCTCTTGAGGCAGGGCCTCTCATTGAACTGGGAGCTCTCCAGTCCAGACTGAGTGGTGCCAGCAAGCCCTGGGATCCTCCTATCTCTGCCTCCCCAGCAGTGGGATTACGTGTGTGTGTGTGTGTGTGTGTGTGTGTGTGTGTGTGTGTGTGTGCTGGGGATTTGAACTCAGGTTCTCATGCTGGAAAATTAAGCACTGTTCTGGTTTGCTTTCTGTTGCAGTGATACACACTATGACCAAAAGCAACCTGGAGAGGAGAGGGTTATTGAGGGAAGTCAGGGAAGGAACCTGGAGGCAGGAACTGAAGGAGAGACCATGGAGTAACATTGCTTATAGGCTTGCTCTCCATGGTTTGCTCAGTTTATTTTTTTAAATTCACCCAGGACCACTTGCCCAGGGGTGGCACCACACACAGTAGGTTAAGGCCTCCCACATTAACCATTAATCAAGAAAATGCTCCACAAAATTGTCTAGAGGCCAGTCTGTTGGAGGCATTTTCTCAGTTGATGTTCTCTCTTCCCAGATGATTCTAGTTTGTGTCAAGTTGACAAAAAAAAAAAAAAAACAAAAACCTAAAACAAACAAACAATAACCAATACAAACAATTAATGGAGCCACCTCCGCAGCCTGTTATACCATAGTTAATGAACATATGCCCCCCCCGCCCCCACTAGCCTAATAAATTCTTTAGACACTTGACTACATATCTTTGTTTGGGCATGTATTTTTGCTTTTCGTTGTGAAATAATTAGAAGTGTGTATTAGGATTCTCCAGGGAATAGTAACAGCAGCATATGAATGTGTATGGGAAGAGTTTTAAAGACTCCCACAGTTGTGAGGCCCAGGCAAGCCCAGAGTGTGAGTGGGAGCTCTCAGAGACAGGAATGGTCTTTGCAGCTCTTGATCAAAAGCTATCTGCTGCAGAAGCAGACAGAGCCAGCGCTGCCGAGAACCTTGAACCCTCTGAGAAGTCCTTCCTTCTTGTTCTATCTAGGTCCCTGGGGGAAGGCTTCTGCTTTCCTCGAGGTGCTTATCACTTAGCTGTGGTTAGTAGTCATATTTGTTACTCTATAACAAGGTCTTATTATTGATACTAGTAATGTACGAAGTTAAAAATATTTTTATCTAGTATGGTCAAATTAAAAAATATTTGTTTTTAATTTTTATGCCTCTTTCTCTTTCTCTCTCTCTCTCTCTCTCTCTCTCTCTCTCTCTCTCTCTCTCTCTCTCT